TTTGATAGGTGCTGAGGTAATTGTACAGGTTTTTTTAATTAAGCAAAAATTGCAAGTGGTATATTCTACAGAAGGTTAATCCCAATATCAAAGTTTAAATGTTAGTTTAGGCATTACCAAACATGACCAATCTCTTCTCTTGTGCATTTTTTGAAGTGTGATGTGAATTGGATGCTGAGGGTGGGCAGCTGTATTAAGGGAATGTAAAGTAACTTGTTGCCTGGCAGCTTGCAGGAAACATATAAATATTTATTTCTGTGGATCTTTAAAGGAATGAGCTAACAAGCATCTCTTCCTGTAAGTTTTCTTTTATTTTTTAATGTCTATTATGTGAGGAATGCTTAATTATTTTAGAATATTCAAACAAGCAATTATTACTTCAGTACGCCAGTTTTGGTTTTAGAATCATAGAATCAATTTAGGGTTGAAAGGGACCTTTTAAGGTCATCTAGTCCAACCCCTATGCAATGAGCAGGGACATCTTTTCTTAGATACTTAGCCGTTGACAACTATGAACAACTTAGCCAACCATCAATAATCAATTATTCCTATATGTAGGCTTATTTATTCATTCATACAAAAGTTTCTTTGGTTAATCATATATTAATTATGAGATGTTGGCATCTGTCTTTTGAGACCTTAAGAAATAATTGCTACAATTATTCCTTTATATTTTTACAATACTTATATAGTTCTTTTAAAGGAACTAGTGAGTCATTTGAGTTAGTCTGTATTTTCAATCTGATACAGTAGGCTGTATTTTTCTGAAGGTTTTTATATTTACTTTCTTGCATCTTTCTTGTTTGTATGTATATATCTATGTATCTGTGTGTGGATATATGTAACTTTGCATGACAGTGTTAAAACTTTCTGTTTTCATGGCATTCTTCCTTGAAGCCAAAGAACAGTTGACATGCGTGCTAATTAAATTTGATTGCAGTCCTTTAAGTGTCCTGAAGTTAGAAAAATGTAAAGATGACTTTGTCAAGTGAAATACAGCTACCCAAGGGGCAGAAACAGCTTTTAAAGAGCATATTGTTAAAATCCACAGCAATTTAGAGCCAGAAACCGATTATAGGAAGAGTAAACACAGGGAGGTAATTGTGAGCAGCAAGTCATTACTAGGTATATCAATTAGAACGAGGTAGAAAACAAGCTTTAAACGCTGTTTCATGACATATGTCTATTGAATTTGATGGGATTTGAGTGTGTGCTGAAAGTTAAGTCTTTACCTGTTTTGCTGATGGGTCTAAGCTTAAATGTGTGTTCAGTATTAAGCATATACTTGGGTTGCAGTTGGGCTTTGTACATGTTAGGAACTTTTACAAAATCCTTGTTCTTGACCAAACTATATTACGTGTTTATGTAGCTACTACAGTGCTTTTACAAAAAGATAGCTGTGACTACAGCCACGTTTTTCAAAGGTGATGATGAGGTGTTAATAGTAAATGAAATTATTTTACAGGATACTAAATTTTGCCAGCATGTAAATCTTTCTTTAATGTATTGCAGCCCAGTTAGCTGTCTCTGGTGCCCTCTAGTGTCCTTTTGACATGCACAAACCATAGTTAAAAAGTTTTTTTAAAGGCAAGTTACCATATTTGCTTGTCTAGTTTATTTTTTTCTTTATCAGTCTTCATCCCTTTTTTTCCCATGAATGTTAAAAATGCAACCGAAAAATCCATGTGATCATCTTTATCACATCGGCTCATTCACTTCTATCATGATGTACTTGGGTATGATGTGCAAGGCCACCTTTTCTGAGAAAAAAGATCTCATAATCACATAAGAAGTTATGTTACAAGCATATTGTGAAGTCTTGCTTGTTATTTCTGCTGAAGTCTTTTTGAACTGTCCTGATAATCAAGTCTCTATGATTGCGTTTTCATGCTTTAAGGGCTGGTTTTGTTAATCTTCTACCTTATTTTGGTAAATATGGAGATCCCAGCAGTTAGTCCAATAAGGTTGCAGGGTATTGGCAGTGTTTTGCTTGTTCTTCCTTCATGCTGTAATGTTGTTCAGAGTTTCTGTATTTCTTTTATTGTATTTTCTGTAGCATTTCAAGAGATATTAGCGCTCTTGCTCGTGTGCTCTTTCTTTTGCTGTCTGCTGGACCCCTGTCAAATGCAAGTTCCGTACTTATTACTTGTATGCAAGAGAACAGGAGACAGTTTAATTCCAGACTTTGCTGTTTTTATCGCTTGATTCTTGGATCTGTTTTCATAAACAGTACGAGAACATGACACTTAAGCTTTAATACCTTATTTTTTTTTTCCTGGTTAAAATTGAGATTGTGTTTGTTTTTATTTAATCAGTAAGTTTACCTTTTTAAACAACAGATCAGAAGTTCTATGTCAATGTTTATGAACTGTAAAGCATGAATCAGAATTTGTATGAAGGAATCGCTTTCATCCCTGGTGTAAATGTGCACTTACATAATTTGGATCCACTGGATATTTTTATAAAGTTACTTTTTCAGATCCAGTATAGTCTACTGCTGTATTAGCTAAATCTCATATTTGTGAGAAATACTGGAATGATAGTTCTGGAAGCAATCTGGCTTAACCCACAAAATTAATTGTTTTGGGGCATGCACAGGCCCCCAAAAAAATCTTCTGTTGCTTTCTCTCAGTACCTCATTCCTGATCTAGGGAAAACAATATTGATCAAAATTATTGTGTACTTCTCTTTTTGGGACAACTATTCTGTTTAGTACCAAGGCTGACTTTTGTGATCCTTAATCTTCTAGGTACTAGAGGATAACTGTTCTCTTTGCCGAGAGACAACAGTAAGATAAAGGCTTTTTAAACTCTTCATCTGGAAAATAAAATGCTGTTCTTTAGAACAAATCCACATACTTGATTTGACTGAAAAAATAAAATACCAATGTTTTTAATGAAGCGGAAGATATGAAAATGGTCACTTCGGACTCCATTTCATATTTGTTCTTATTGTTAGCCATTGCTTTTTTTCCACTAACTTCTGAAGTAAAACTTCTAAGCTGCAGGAAAATGTTTGATTCATTTCTGATTTCAGTTTTAGTAAGCTTAGGACCATATACACTGCAACTGTATATTAATATTAGTCAAGCAAATCTGTAAATCAAATGTAACTGTGCCTTAAGCTCAGAGATTTGCCTGCCCGTATGTTAGAGACGCCACATTTGTAGAGCTTAATAGTAGAAATAGCAGTATGTTGTGAGTCAGTTTTGCATTGTATTGCAGTACTGAAAGAAGCATTTGGAACTAGTAACTTAATTGTTCCGGCACTTTAAAAATGTAATGCAAAAAGACACTTTTGGTCTTTATTTTCCGAGTACTCTTGTTCGAAAATGAAAAATATAACTTGTAAAAACCACTGGGGTTCGAAAGAATGTTGTTGGGGGTGGGGGGAGAATAAAGAAAATGAAAGTTACCACCAGGAGGAGCAGTACTAAAATACTCTCATTTATTTACTGGCACCATTCTCTATGCTGTAGCTGTAAACCGTCTGTATCTTTGTGAATATCATAATTTTTTTAAAGTTAGGGTATTAATATAGTGGTTTAGAATGCAACTAAAAAACCCCAGAAAGAACGCAAATTAAGAACTTCAATATTTTTACAAATTATGATCCGGAAAAGAATGATTCTTTCGACATTTGAAATCTTGAAATCTTAATCACAGATTTAGATCTGCATCCTCGTTTCAGTACGTTATGCTGTTAGCCAGACTCTCTGAATCAAAATTAGGTCTATTTTTGTGTCTCTTAGTTGACATGTAATAGAATAATTTTCACGAGCTGGTGTATTGGTATTGCTACTAACTACAATTTTCAGTTTCTGCTTCGACTAACCACTAGAGAAACAGGCGCTCAGGCAATGTAGCTGGCCTGTGCACTTATGCCTATACTAGAAGTAAATTGTCTGCTGTGTCAGGGAATAACAGGAAAGGAAAGGAGTGAGTTCAGTAAGAAATAGAAAGTGCCAGACCTTGTAGGGTTTTGGGGCTTGGGTGGGGTTTTTTTTCTTTTGTTTTGTGCTTTGGGGATTGGTTGGGTTTTTTTTTGTGGTGGTGTGTGTTTGGTTTTTTGTTTCTTTTTTTTAATCTTCCTAGGGTGATAGATTTTACTCATATAGAAATGTGTATAATCCGTCACATTATTCCTGAAATGTTATGTGATGTTATGCATATAATTTAAATCAGACTTTGGAAAGGAGTGGGATTTCCCATTAATGTTTTCAAATATTGGTATTCCATATGAATTCTAGAATTCATTAACTGTATTGTTGTTAATTCTCTGTTTCACATTTCTGGCCCATTAATTGTCACCGATTCAAAATGCTATTGTATCTCTTAATGGTATTACCTCCCCTACCCGTTTAGTGGTTAAGTATGTGCTCTACAGATATTTTTCTACATAGTGTCAACAAGTTATTTTGCTTACTCTTTTGACGGAGGTTTTTAAAGAGAACTAAATACTTGAAGTAAGCCAAGTTGATTTTCTGTTTCTGAGGTGGACTTTCAAAACTATTTTGGAGGATTGTTTAATACCTAAATTGAACGGGTGTGTGTCATCTGGGTGCTGTGTGTAATATAAGATGCAGGGCTTGATAATTAGTTAAGGGGTGATCAGCACAAATCCTTGGTGATAGTCCATTGCAAAACAACCAACTCACTTTCTATAAAATGTGGTACTGATTTTGGAACCCAAGGAGGTATAATGGGTCATGAAAATCACCTAGATACTCAAAACTGGCTGCTGAAGCAAAGTGGGTGTGTGGGCTACATTACTGGCACATCCAGCCTGCTGTACATCTGTGAGAAAGAAGAAAGTTTTTATTCTTCCTTTACATGGAACATTTTTTATTTTGTAATTTCTTTTGAAGTTTCAAACCTAGAAGTCTAGCAGTGCAACTAGGTCATGTGAAGATATAAAACTAATGAATAAACATCGAAATCATTACTTAACTTTGCTCTTTTAAAATGATCTGCTGCATTCTGACAAATGTTTCTTGATAGGATGAAGATGAGCTGGACTCTCACACCATGGTGAAAACCAGTTCGGAGAGCGCTGGTACCATGAGGGCCACAAGCACGATGAGTGAAGGCGCTCAGACAATGATTGAACACAACAGTACTATGTTAGAATCGGACTTGGGGACCATGGTAATAAATAGCGATGATGATGAAGAGGAAGATGGAACCATGAAACGTATGTTAATTTACTTTTCTTTTAATAATGTGATATGTTTTCTCATACTGCATGAGAATGTTGTATCATCAGTGGCTTTTAAGCATCAAGTTCTGTGGTTAAAACACGATGAGAGGGGTATTTGTGTCTCTTTAGTGCTCTCTACAGCTTGGGAAAAAAAGGTGACTAGTGGGAGATTCAAAGCAGAAGCCTGGTTTTGGTGCTTTGCTAAGTCTTTCTGGAGGCCTCTAAAATTAGCCTTCTGTGAATTCTCCCTTCTACTCTGTCTCTTGCTTTTTGTCTCCTGTCTCACAGACATTTAGACCCATTCCTTGGAGCTAAACTGAAGTGGTATGATTATGTGAGAAGCTGCTGCTTCAGTGTCAGTGGTACTGGGAACTTGTCGTGACTCTCCATAGGTTCAGCAATCAGTACACATCTTGCTGCAAAATTGTTGTGTAACTCATGATCAATTAGCAGATTTTTATTTTGTAATTGAGTGTTATTATTTGAACATGTGTTGGAATTTAATTCAGTAATGCTTGATTTAAGGCAATGATCAAATTATCATTGAAACCTAAGTAGAAAGTCCAAATTGACTTCAGCAGCATGTGAAGGAGTAGGTAACAAAGAGAAAAAAAATCACAAATGTTTTAAAGTATAAAATTTTAAGTTACACTGAAATATGCATAGTCAACTTACGTACCCACATATTGATGTGCTCATTATTTGGCTGAAGACTACTGTAGAATGAAGCCTGCTGAATTTAATAGAATTATTTACTTGAATGGGCAGCATCACTAGATGAATCTAACTCAAGCTATAGGTGCCTGATTTCATGAGGCATAATGTAATGTTTAACTCCAGGCAACTGTTGGAGGAGGAGGAGGGGAGGTAATAAATAAAGCTAATGTCTCAAGAGTGGAAATGGGTGCCAGATAACTTTGTTGAATGCTTTACAGCAAACATAAAGTTACATTTGTGTTTGCACATATACACCTGATTAGTTGGATGTGCAAAGCAGGAATATGTTTTCTTTGTGGTTTAATGTGCAGCAAATTGGAAGGAAGGAGTTGTTTGGGTTTGTGTGTGTTTTTGGGGCTTTTTTTTTGTGGTTTGTTATGTTGCTTTTGGGGCTTTTTCTAATGTTCTCAGCAATAAGATAGCAAGCATACCTGTTGATTAGTGATTAGTTTAAGTAGGATGATTCACCTCATGAAACCATTCAGTATGTGTTTTAATTTGTTCTCATGCTGACACAAAATATTTACCTATTAAACTGTGAGGCTGATGGAGGGCTAGTACAAGCCATCTCGAACTTACGAATTTCAACAAGTTAAGGAAAAGATAAGTGGTGCAAAAAAAAAAAAAAGAGAAAGATATTACAAACTAATTTTTTTTTATTAAGCACTTCAGGCTTAATAACTATCCATGTAATTTTTATATGTGCTGAGAGGAAATACCTGTTAGTATGCCAAACAGAGCAAAAAAGTGTCATTAGGTTTGCATTGCAATCTCTTATCCATGTCTTATTTGTCTGTTATGTTGCTGGAGACATTGTTTTTAAAATGTACTCTTATTTTCCATTTTTAATTGATTCCAGCAACAATCTGTAGTTAGTAAGGGAAATACCTTTTTACACCTTGGCATTTAGTCAGTACAATTCTTAAACGTATTCTTCCTTCTTGTCAGACAAGATATATAATCCTTGGGACAGCAGGTTTCCTTCCCCTCCCTCCCCGCCATAGGTGACTGTCTTGAGACCTGTAACTCTCATGAAGGAAAGCCAGCAAACTGGAGATAGCCTGATGGCAAGTGATGGTTTCATCATGCAGCTGGCAAGCAATTTGCTTCCAGCACTTACTCGCTGAACTTTCTTGTATTTTGCGTTAGACACTCATTGATTAAAAACTAGAAATAATTCAAGAATTGAACCTCCACATCTCTCAGCTGAAAAGAAATATAAATAGTGTCCACTGAGGCTGGTCCTCCTCTGGTTCTGTGATTCGTGTGCTATTGGCTGAAACAGGAGCAATAGCAAGTGTCCTAAATAAATGTCACCAAGAAGGGACATACAAATCCTTGCTCTCCCTGAGAGGCAGACATAGATTTTATGCTTCTGTGTGCTTGACAAAGACACAAGGTTTTAGAGATTGGTTGCTTTTTCCAATGTACGTTTACAGGCAAGGTGGCCATTTTCTAGATGTTTGTGTGATTTGGTGATAGTAGCTTAAAAGTACTCTTTGATACTTCTGAATAATAGAAAATTGCAAGCAAGAAGCTTGGAGAAATAAACTTAGTTAACTAGGGAAGAGAGATTTCATTTCCTTCCTAGAGACAAAATATTTATGACAATTTTTTTTTTTATATGCTTTTGTGTTTAGTTTCATATTTTGTTTCCTTCTGCCTTTTGTTTCCCTGCTCAGGGACAAAATAAGAAACAATAATAAGTTTTTATTTATAAGTGTCCATGCTTAGAGGCCTCTGGGAGCCATCACAGAAAATAACTAAAACCACATTTTTTTCACAAATAGGGAATTGTGCCCAGATAAAATTGGGATTTGGAACAAAAAGAGGCCTGTCATCCTACCCCAACATACAATATACAGCCTAGCAATAAACAATATTTATGCCTTCTTGCTTTGTATGCCTGTGCATGCTCTGAGTGGAGACTATGCAGTATGTACCTAAAAGGAGGGAAGGAAATGCAGAATACAGGGAGGTGGGAGGACAGAGCATAACTTTAGGAGGTTTAACATGGAGTGGAAGAAAGAATGGGATTGATGGAAGGTAGTACTACTTCTGTTCAGCTGCTTGGATTGTACTTATTTTCATGTAGAAGCTTTTTCGTATCTCAACGCGGAGAATGGTTTTGAGACCAGCTTCCCCACGTTCCCTTTGTGGCTTTTCGGCAAGACTTAGTGTTAGGGCTTCACCAAGAGTACTTATGATTGTTCTCTTTCCTCCATTTCATTAACGCATGTCTCTCCTGCCCCACCCCACCCCCACCCCCCTGGTTAAATTTATATTTTCTGTCTGCTGTGGGCTGGCAAACAAGCTGTGTCTTCTTGCCATTTGGACTTACTCTAACTGTTGCTTCAGACTTCGGTGAAGCTTCTAGATAGTTCATGGTTGGTAATAAATATATTGAAGAGGACAGTAAACTAATAAAATGGCATTTGACAGAATGTAGAAAAGTGGTCAGGTTTTTGTTTTATTAATTTTTGCCCTCTAAGACATTAAATGTTTTAGGTTTAGTCAGTTTGATTCTTAAACATTCTTCCTTCTTGTTGAACAGAAAAATATAGTCTTTGGGACAGCAGGCTTCCTTCTGTTCCCTCCTCCCCCATAGGTGACTGTCTTGAGACCTGTAACACCAGCAAAGGAAAGCCAGCAAACTGGAGGTAGCCTGATGGCAAGTGATCGTTTCATCATTCAGCTGGCAAGTGACAGGTTTGGTTCCATCAATTATTTGCTGAGTTTTCTTGTGTCATTGTATTGTGGGTTCCTTGATTACAGCAGGACATGTACTGTGCTGTAGAACCTGCATTTTGAAAGGAGAATTAATAACTTGGTTTTAGTTATTTATTATTTTTTAGTGATTTCAGTCCATCTAGTGTAAGAGATTGTACCATACTGTGTCAGTCTCCTCTGTAATAGGAGGTGGATGCTTAGGTAGCTCTGGAGTGATGCTTCATAACTCTTAGAACAGCTGGGGCCCTACTGCTGGTTTTAAAACTGAAAAGCAAAAGCTATTGATATGTGTTTTATAACAACCTGTAACCCAGGTCGTATAGGAATTCAGCAAGGAAGCAAAACTATGGGCTCATTTCAATTGAGCATTGATATTTGATGACCTTTAAAGGTCTCTTCCAACCCAAAGATTCTATGATTTCATGGATGTAGTTTTGTTCAAGTGTGTTTATTGTGCCCACATTATGATGGTTTCCTTGATTCCATATGCAGATGTGCTAGTACTTTACTCCTGTATATATAGAAAGAGAGGGACTCTTTAGGTGTTTCCAAGCCTATTCCAGTCCTCAAGCCCTCTCCTGTGATTGGTAATAAAGTTGTTCATTTATGCCCCTAGTAGTAGTATCTTTTAAAAATGGGATTTTTTTCCAAAGAAAAACATAATGTTGGCACTTCTACTTAAATAGCTGTTGCAAAATGCTAGCTTAACATGGATTTTCTTTGTTTTTCTGAAAGCAGAAATAAAGTATAACTCAGCTGGAATGAACTAATGGGTTCATAATAGTGGTTTCACTTAGTATTTTCTTCTCTCCAGAAGGTGGAAAAATAGAACAAAAATTATTAAACCAGTTTTACAAGTCTCATTCTCAGGAAGCAAAGAAATGTTTTGTACAGGAAACTCTTTTCCCCATTTAAAAAGCCTTTAAACTTGAGTTCATAGTCCTTCAAAAAGTCTATGAAGGCTTCAGCTGGTTGAAAAACGTGTGGATTTTCCAATTAAATGCCAGTTGAATTAATTCTTATAAATAGATATATTATAAAACAAAGAAAATACTGAACGACTCCTGAATTTGAATGAAGACTTGGGTGCGTAAGTCACTGTGGTGTGAATACTGCAAACTCAGTAACCACTTTGTTACACAACTCTCTGTAGTCAATGATTTCTTAGGTACATCCTTTGGTAGACTCCCAGCTGCTTTGGCCTATGGAACTGGTGATCTAGTTTCTGCTGATGCTTCCTTGTGATTCAGAAACTAAGCAGACTGACCCCTCATTCTCTGAGGTGGTTGTCTAATAGGCATGTATTAGTAGCAGAACTCGCCCACTCATAAAACACAGTCACAATTTCTACTTAAAATATGGCTGAAGGAGGTAGCTGCAGCAACTTTCTACATGGTAGTTCACTGTTAAGTGCGTTTGCCCAGATATTGAGGTCAAAATTCCAGAGTCCCTTCAACCTTGTATTCAAAGCTCCTGTCTCCCATTTCCCAGGAGAATTACTGCCATTGTGTTGTAGGCCACCTTGTGTGGTGAGAAAGTAATGGTAGGAATGTATGAAATATAAAGCCGAAGTAGTATGTGTTGTTGTGTAAGCTGCTGTAGCCTTTGTAGTAGAGGTGATAGTCCGAAGAAGGCTAAAAGCTGATTGCAATACAGCTTCTCAAATAGTGACAAAGCAACATATTTTGAGGGAATAAAAATACTGACAGGATCTTCACAGAAGCACTGCAGACAGGAGAACTTGATCCTCTAACTTCACCGAAGAGGCAGCAGCTGGAAGTGTTCCCCAATTAAGTGGCAGATGGAGACCCCCAAGATGGGGGGAAGGCTGTGGAAATTTGTTGCTTTTGGCAAAAGGAAGAAAGCTTTCTTTTGCAGATTTGCAGCTGTGGAAGAGGTTCAGTGCCCTGGTAGAGTAATGGAACGAGAGAAAGGCTTAGAGACTTTCTATAACCAATTGTTAAAAAAAACCCCAAAAACAAACCAAAAAAACCCCCAAAACCCAAACAAAATACCACCACCACCACCTGCCCTGTCCCAGGAAATTGTAGCAGGAGACTCACTTCTGTAGCAAATGGATGCCCTTATCTGCTGACTTTGCTTGCTATCTAGGAAAGGTTTTTTCTTGCCCAGGGCCTAGTCCCACAGCGTTGAAAGACTACCAGGGCTTGTCCAGTGATTAGACTATTGTCTCCTGCTGCCCATCCATGAGGGCATGTGCCAATGATACTGCCAGAGGAGACCTTAAGAGTGACCTCAAGAGTAACTCCAGGGTTGTGAGAATGTTCTTGATCATGGTGGGAAAGGGAAAGCCTTGGACGAGCGGATGGATCCTGTGTATGGGTCAACACTTGGTTGTGCCTGTAGTGTTGTTGACAGAGGTTTGACTTTTATGACCATGGAGCCCTTTTTGAGGATCAGGGATTGTTGCGGAGAGATGAGTTCTACCTGTTGAAGTAAGGCAAGCGTGTTTTTTGCCAACAAGCTGGCCCTGAGTTAGCCAGACCACCATGGGGCAGTGTACCTGCGGCTCAGCCCAACACAGAGTACAGAAACTTAACAACTAACAACAGAACTTTTAAACAGTTTTAAAAACAATTTAGTATTAATAGAACACTCTTCTGTTGGAAATACATCACTGCAAAAGCATTTTTATTTATAGATAACATCAGTTGAATTTGATCGAAACATGCATTAGAATGGAATGTGCATTCCTCCTTTTCAAATGTGCGTTTAGATTTATTTATTTTAGTTACGATATGTTTTTGAAACAGTGTACTAGAGTTGGTGTTGTGTTATGTCATTGCCTCATTCTTTTTATCCAGCATACTTTTTGGAAGAAATTCTCTTTGGTAACTATTTGGGGACATCTGCACCGGCTGTATTCCTGTCAGGGGTATTGCTGAGGTAGAACATATGTTTTCAGCGTTCATGGTGGTCTCTGCATTCCCTGGCTTGCCAGCCGTTTCTCAGACTGCTGTTTTTATTGTGACTTTCTTCCCAAAGCCATCTTGAAGTCCTGGAGTGGGCAAGTGTAGGGATGATTGAAAAGAGACTGATGCTCTTAAGTGTTGAAACTATGGCAAGCACTTTTAAACATGATCATCTCTTGTTGAAGAGCAAACTAAGATCAGAAGAACTGGAAAATCTGAGTCCTCCTAGAACGGAACAGTCTGTTGCACAATAGGTTTTCAGTGCAAGTGTGGAATGATACTGATTGTGCTGCAGATTTTTTGTGGCAAATATATAGTTTGTGTAAAAAATAACTTACAGGATAGTTGCATGAATTAATTGTCCTTAAAGGAATCTTTTATGTATTGTCCTTCTAAATTTCCTAGTTCTTGAAAGACAGTTGACAACGTATGTTACTCGGTTGTTCATGAAAGTTAGAAAAAGTGCTTCCCTTCCAAAATGATCTTCTAATAACCTTACATTTTGGAAAAAAATGCTACGTACATCAGTTTACTGTGGCATAAAGAGCCTGAGTGTTTTGTAAAGTCAATATGAAAGAGGTAGGAGCCTTCACAGGGCCTTTGAACTACTAGGTGTCAACCTATCCTATTTTACATGAAATATTAACTAAACTTGTTTGTGTTAGACTCTTCTTAGATCTCTAGCTAACCTCTTTTTAAATTTAATTATTTGTAAAAATAAAATAATAAAAAAATTAAGTAAATGCTTCATTTTTTTATATTGGGGAAAAAACAAACCTTAAAACACCTCTGGTCCCATTGTTTTGCAGGCATAATATTTCTAGTTTTTTGTGTGAGTTTTTATATTTGCAGTGAAGGAAAGCAGCTCTTGTCCTTTTAAATGAGTGAACCAACTGTTTACTAAATCAGAATCAGAAGTGACTCCTAAATTCTTATTTATCAAAACAAATAGAGCAAGGTCTCAAAGTGTAAAATAAATGTGCTTTGCTCATTTTGGTGTAATTTCAGGCCTGTTGACCCACTGTCCTTAATACTCTTTCAATAGCAAGGAATTTGGAGGGACTGGTTTGTTTTACATATGTAGGCAGTCTTCTATTACATATATAAGGAAGATATTTATAAATAACTCTAAAACTTAAGAACAGTGCTTGGAAAATCTTTAGTATTTTCTGTTACATGAGAGGAGGGAGACTATCTTACCTGTAATGGGCCAACATTTTGGTACTTTAGAGTTTCTAACAGAGACACTGGTAATCTTCTGGTTTATAAGTATGTCTCAAGGATGAAACATAAGTACAGCCGTCTCAGCAGAAGAGAAATATTGGTTGTGAAAGGCCAGCAATGTGGTGTCCTATCTTTTTGGTACAAATAGTTTCAGGGTTTTTGGGCAGCTATCAGCAAGTAATAAAAAGTTTGTATTAAGAAAACGCATTGTATTTCTGTTTTTAATTCCACCCCCTTCATACTACTACCTTCTCTTGGATCTGTTTTCTAAATTTCTGCTTTGCTAAAGTTTAGATTCTTCCATTTTTGCCCTTCAGTGCTTATTTCTGTAGTTATTTGGCATCCCTGATGTTTATGTCTCATCCCTTCCTCAGTCTCAGACTGAAGAGATCCAGAAACCTCATTCAAGTGATCTTGAGTTCAGTGGGGGCAAACTTGGGAGATTCTGGGGAAGAGATATCTTTTATGTGGTCTGTTAAATTCAACCTGGAGTTTAGTTCACTGAATGTTTGTGGTATTTTTTATGGTTGTAGTTGCCATTAATTAAAAGATGATAACTAGAAATGACTATGATCTGGCATTAGAAAAGAACATGGCAACAACTGAGAGAAAAACAGGCTGAAAAAATGTGGCAAGGAGGAGGTGTGTATGGAAACATGGCAGGCTGAATTGAGGAATCATCATGGAGCTGAAGAAGCAGCAGCTGGAGTCAAGTGCAGTAAAGCCTAGAGCATAAGCAAGACAGTAGACCACCCCATTCAAAAAGCCAGAAGAAATCTTACTAGAACAGAATGATGTAGAAAAAGCAGAAAGAAAAGAACAAGTCAATATGCTATAAAAGATGGTGGTACAAAAATAAGCATTGATGAAAAAAATAGGCCACTATTAGCCATGCAACAAAATTAGAATGAATTAAAAAAACAATTGAGACAGAGGGAAGGGGTTACCACAGGAAGAGATGATGAAAATAAGAGGTGAAAGAGGAAGGGAACAAAAAAGCCACTTAGTGAATTAATAAAAACAAGTGTAAAGCCAGATATGAAGATCAGCAAGTCCTAATAATCAGGTTAAACACAAGCTCAAAAGATATTTCCAGTGGTTTTCCTTTTCACTTGTTAAATAAAATAGTTCAAATAAAAATTCCTAATTGTTTTTTTATGCTTATAATGAAAGAGTATAGTTCTACCTGTGGTTGGTTGTTTTTGTTTGGTTGGGTTTTTGTTTTAGCTTGGTTATTTATATCTCATCCTGTTTCACATGTATTTCACATTTCTCCATGTACAATGTGTTACACTGCAAGCAAGTACATGTTTCATTAGTCAATGCTACGCAGATTATAGTCTCTGAGGTGACAGTTATGTAGAACTACTAAAGCATTTCTTATGTTTTATTTACTATTCTATTTAGGAAAGAACTTGCTTTGAAATACCACAACTGAAAACAAATTTCAGTCGTTTAGGATTGTAGCTAAATTTTTTTTACATTTAGTTTCATGAAAAGGATAATGGAACCGGAGTTCAGGCTGATCTCAATTGCTTCGTAAAGCTTTTGCAGCCACATAGATGGTGACAAAAATCCTGCAGGGTTTCCAGACCATGGAGACAGGGTGCTTTGCAGCCATCTGTAGAGTGTGATCCCATAATTTGTGGAGAATCCTCATTGGCAATGAATTCAATTAAGCAGTGTCTAGACACAGTTTGTGCAGGTGTGTTTTTGCGAGTTCTTTTTCTAAATATTTTTTTAAATCGCACCTTTAGGTAAACTGATGGAACTCTGTTGCTTTGCTACAAGTGCCTGTGGACCAGGCCTTGAAGTTAGGGACGTTCAGCACCCAAAGGGATGCTTAGCACCTTGTGTTATTCAGTCTCTATAACAACAAATAGATATCACATGAAGTAACTTCTAATATTACTCGTGTGTGCAACTCTGAAATGGCTTGAACATTTCTCCACATTGTATCTTGCTACAAAAATATCATTCTTCGGCTATGAGTTTTTATGCCAAAGGTCCTCAGGGGACAAATGGAGGCTTGCACCACGTACGGACGACTATTAATTTCTGTAAAATCCAAGAAAATTAATAAATGGAGTTTATTTTATAGTGCAGTAAGTCTTTAAATAGTTTTAACTTTTTTCTTTTTTTCTCAACTAAGGAAATGCTACTTCACCGCAAGTTCAAAGGCCTTCTTTCATGGACTACTTTGATAAACAAGATTCCAAGAATAAAAGCCCTGAAAACTGTAATCAGAACATGCATGAACCTTACCACATATCCAAAAACGTTTTCCCTGATAACTGGAAAGTCCCTCAAGATGGAGACTTTGATTTCGTAAGTACATTTTTATTGTTTACTTTCTTGTATGTGGTTTATTTTATATGTGCCAAAAATAGTTAATCCCTTTCTGTAACTATGTTAATACAAGTAAAATAAGTAAACTTTCAAGAATACTGTCCAATTATCTAATCTTAATGCCTCACCCTGGTATAAGTACATTTGCTTGACACAAGACCTTTTTAATGAGGAGTGGTATGTGACGTTACGAATATACTACTTTGTAACTACTTTTTATTTTTTGGAGTATTTTTGGTTCTTTATAATTTATGTTGTAACATCTTTAAAATTTGACTCAGTTCTATTAAAAAAAAAATTGCTACAGGCATGGAATAGTGTTGTCATGTTTGTTTGAGTTTCTCAGTAAAATAAGCATTTTAAACTGGATTGGAGCCATTTAATCAATCTCCTTGGAGATGGTTAAGATCACCTACTGTTTTGAACAAGCCAGCTTGTTGATACTATTCCAGTAGTGCACATCTCTGCATAGAATTATTCTATCTAGCACCAGGCTGTCTATTTTAGGGTGGTGTTTTTGTGCCTCCAAAATAAGTGTAGTTTATTTATTTTTGCCTATGTTGCAAATTGGAACAGGGCAAAAAGAAAATGTTCCTAAGTTATAGGTTGCTTTTGAAAGTAAAGTAATTACTGTTTCAAGACTTGTACATAATTATACCTAGTTTTTCCGTTTGTTCATTTTTTCAACATGTTGAATGGAAGAATTTCATTTATCTGTTGTAGATTAAACATGTTCTTAACTGTAGTGCAGTAGCTAAATATGATTACATGGCACCTTTTTGAAAGTACACTTGGGATTTGGAGAAAAATGTTGTGTTTAATTTTAGGTGACAGCTGTAGGTGTGGGATTTTTTTTCCCTGATTTCACTTACTGCATTTCTACATAAAGCTGACTCTTAAATTTAAGCTGTTGGAGTAAAGCCAGTTAAATAGCACACTACCAGTTATTGCTGCTGGAGAGTTTTAAGTTAGATTTTGGTTTGGGTGGGGTTTGTTTAGGCTTTGACCATAAAATGCAATAGTCATCATTCTGATAACTGACTAACAAAATAATTATTTGCACTATTCATTGGAAAAAACTGGCCGTTATTTAAGTGGGGTTATTAGAGTGGCAATAAAATTGTCCTTGGAACAATTTAAAATTCATTCTATCTTTTCCATTGCTTGTTAAGAAATGCAAGTGAAAATGATTCTTCTTGTAAATGCTAAGATCTTAATTCTGTAAGTGCTTATTCATGAATAATTCACACATGGATAATCCTGTGGAACTTGCTGACATTGCTTGTATATATGAAATTGCCTCCTTGAAATAAGAATTTCTCTTGCAACCAAACCTGAGGAGTTCTGATCTTCAGAAACTGTTCTCTGTGTGTAGGCAAACCTTGCTAGTGGTCCTAGCCTGGCAAGTCAAAGACTTCATAATCATAGGATCATAGAATGGTTTGGGTTGGAAGGGACTTTTAAATGTCATCCAGTCCAGCTTCCCTGCCATGGGCAGGGACACCTTTCCCTAGTTGCTCAAAGCCCTGTCCAGCCTGACCTTGAACACTTCCAATGATGGGGCATCCACAACTTGTCTGGGCAACCTGTTCAGTGTCTCCTGGAAGTTACGTGATGTGCAGTTTGTCCTTGACTTCTTAAAAAAGGCAGCATTGTGAAGCTTGTTGCTACAAAATTACTCTGATTGAAGACCAAATAGGATTTTAAAAAAAAGTGAATAGCTATGTGCATGGGCAATGTGTGTAGATGGGGGGGTGTGTGTGTGTGTGTAGAATTTTAGCATGACGAAAGCCATGCTTAAGGTAAGCCAGCCTAAGAAAGAGTTTAGGAAGACTCTTCAATAATGGATGGGCTGCTTCAGTGTAGTCCACTCAAGAATACATTTCCATGAAGCATCTGGTACCAGCTGATGTCACACAGGATATTGGTTGTACAGCCTGCTGTACCATAGGCAATTATTATTTATTTACATATCTTCTAGAAGCACTTCTATTTATATTTTAGACAGCGAGTGGCAGTATTGGTAAGTGGCTTGCAAGAGACTTTCTGAAAGGATAAATCAGTGGGCAGCATGCATAATATATTGTCTACTCTTTGTGAGATCAGCATGAATGTTTTTCAGTTGCTGACATGAAGTCTTTAAATGATTCATGAAAGGGATAAATAATGGAAACTTTTTGTACTAAATAATTTCAGTCTATTTTGATTGGAATTAGCCTTAAGGGGATCTAGAAAGGGATCCTAACAGTAAATGCTGACAATAATGATTTTATTTAAAGAAGGGATTGACACCCTAGAACTGAAATATAAATGATCAAAATCTAACTTAATGCTAGTATACTCTAACAGTACTCCAGCTTTCTATGTAGAAGAGGAGCAATGCTCTGAAAGTTGGAGGTTGCCAAACTCATTTGCTGAAGGATACCGTTATTCTTACTTACCCATATACCCTTGTAAGCCGTACATAGCGTGTTGGTGCTGGCAGCCAATAAGCGCTTCACTTCTGAGCCAGGGCAGCATGATAGAGCCATGCTAAAAAGAGATATTCAAGTGTTCGGCTGGAACGACTTAGAAGTTTATTAGTATATGTGTCTGTTACAGCATAAACTAGAGAAGCAGAAATGCCGCTGAGGTGGGAGGGAGAAGGAAGAAAAAACAATCCTTATAAATCCCTGCAACTAATCAGTTTGCTTATTTCTATGCAGAAGGTGAGACCTGCAGAATTGGGAGCTAGTTCTTGTGGCCAAATGGTATACTTGCTTTAGATCGCAGTGATATTTTATCCTATTCCTAGTATATTTTACTGTTTGATAAAACAATACATAGTTATTTTATTTGTTTAAATGTACAAATATGTGTAATGCAGATACAGCAGTTAGTCTTACTTGCTGATGTTTTTAGATAATGTAAATAAATTATACAGGAAACTTTTGTCATAAGGTGGATAACTGAATGTATAAAATAATGCCAAATGAACTTAGCACTACATTTGGATTGAAAGTTTTTATATGGGCATAGTTTTCTGCCCTCACATAAATGTTTTAAAACCTCCTTGCCAATGAAAATAGAAATCAAAGACTTTTCCAAGAAAATAAGATGCTTTGGTCATCAATCTGAGTTTTAAAAAAAGTAATTTTAGCAGAATTTTTTCTTCTGTAAGTACACATTTATGCTTTGTTTTTCACCATTGAAGTACATCTGTTTTGAAATTCAAAAGCTGATCTTACTTCTTTTTCACTAATGCCATATGGGAATTTGAGATCCATTTCTGACTTGGTCCTGCGGACCTTCAGTTCTGCGATCAATCTCTGGTGGTTATTGATGTAATGTTCCACGAATTGATGAGGAAGAAAAAATTGCCACTGCAGACCTTCAAATTTTACATTGTATTGAATCAGGTATATTGCAAATAAGTTTTAACTAGACTTCATTCTGGTACTTTATAGTCACAGTGAATATTGCATTATTCTAAATTTACTCTGTTATGTATGTCTCGGGACTAAGGTGCTGTTTTTCGTGCACAAGAGGTGTTTGGGGTTTTTATACTACATTTCTTCTTGTTTTTTTAAAAAACAAACAAACAAACAACCCCAAATGTTTTTCGGTATTGTCTTTTCTGTGACTAGGAATTTTTAGAGTTGGGTGTTTTTGTTGTCAGTTATTTTGTTGTCTATTTTTGTGGTCTTATGATAAATTCTGAAAACCAGAAGTATTGGGTTTTTATATTGGTGAATCTTAGGGAAATGTATTTCTGGGGAAGTACTTGTAAATGTTTTGGTTTTTCCACTTCAGCCTTTGAAATGGAAGTGTGGAAGCTCTGATTGGATACAAATCTTACAAAGCCTAACGAGTTTTTATTCAAACTTCAGCTTTTATATTAAACTTTTAATATGTATTTCACACTCAAGGATCACTATGGATTTTCTTTTTCAATGAATACTATCAGACTATAGTGGTTCTTCTACACATTTTCATTATTTTTAAGGGCCATGCGGCAGATGGCAAAATATTTTTAAAAGCAATATTTTTAACCCTAATTCTGTCAGTTTTACTTGGGGTTAAGTGATGCTTTATTCACAGCAAAACCTTGATGCCAGTAAGTCTAATCAACACGATACTACTCATTGTGAAGAAAAGCAGCATAATGTCCTTGAATAAGTAAAGATGTGGTAAAGCTATATAGTATATGGGTTCATAGAAATGTTAATCATGCATGGTACAAGCAGCTTTTGATAATGAGGCTTAACTGTTTAAAGGCCCAACTTTTACTCTCAGCTCACAAGTTCGCAGTTTGATTCAGTGTGCTGAATTAGAGCAAATGATGTGTTTGTTTCAACCATCTAAGTGACTGGTCCTTTTAAGAAGAATTGGTTTTTTATAGGTATTATGTATTCATATGACCATGTTGCTATTATGATAGCTTTGTTCTTTCCATGGTGAATGTTTTCCATGAGGTACGTAGGTGCTTGAGAGAGCCGTGCATTAAATGGGCAGTATAACTGCAAGGTGTTGTTGAAGCAGCATGCTCAAATTTATTTTTGTCTTTCACAGTTGAAGATTTTGTGATATTTTGTGTAGCATTTATCACATTTTTATGGGCATTATAGAAGAGAGTTTTCACCCAAAAGGTGAACTTCTAATAATCAAGAAGTACTTGAAATTTTTACCATGCGGGGAAAAACAGGTAAATCTGAGCTTGCTAGATTGATGTGCTGTGTGTTAAATAACCTGCTGCTTACATTTTTACTGTATCATGACATTTTACATCTCATTAATGTGTAAAATTGCTCTGTAAATCCTTCTGCCCCTTAGTAATGTGTGTTAGTGTGGGACACAATGTTAACAAAGGATTTACGTGAACTGCAGTGAAGTGGTATCTAATTGATGATAACCTGTGAACTAACATTAGTCAGAATTAGTTGCAAAACATCATTTGCACTCATTGAATATATTATTTAATTTTAAATGAGTGATTTACT